CTCCATGCGGATGGCGTGTGTTACCTCTATTCACGGGACATGCATACTCTGATAAGTGATATTCTAATGTTTGAATTCTGCAAAAATGTAACCATCATAACCAAATATAGAAACAAAAAGGTTGTTCAACTGATAATATAGTCTCGTATCTAATGATGTTTCTTATTAATGAATATCAATTATATGAATCAGTGCACTGATTTAGCGCCTGATTTGTTTCAAACTTAATTACATTTAACGGGATAGAATGACTATGACGTCACGATGTGGTGGGTGGAGTAAATCAGCCAAAACAATTAAAATCTCAGCATACCTAGTTTTACGTAGTTGGAACGCAAAATGAGATAATGGTCTTGAAATGAAGGACCAGACATAGGGTCTTCTTCCTGTAAAACAATTATCTTGCTAATCGAAAAAGTGAAACGAGATCTAACAAAAATACACTCCTGTTGGCAACATTCACAGTTAATTACAAAACAATATCACCTTTCTACTATCACTATGCGCTTTGAAAGCTAAATTCTTTCTCCGAAGGTTGTACAATCTATTTTTCAATCAACGTTGAATACGCCGTGGTAGTCGGAACTACGTGGATATGTCGTCTGATATCTTTAATATTGCTATATAGAAGATTGTGGCATATATATGGAGAAATATTAATTATTGACATGTTCTCTAGATCATTTTATCTCTATTATCGTAAACTAGAAAATGTTTGGGTTGTTATAGTATATTCGCGTGTTGAATTGCCATACCGTAGTCTGATATCTAGAGTACAGTCATTGGTTTATTGAAGTTATTTAGTCATGTAGAGGAGTGACATCATTAATTTCTTTCAACATTCAATGGAACAGTTGTCAAGGTGTTTTTTTTTTAAAGTATATTGTGTTTCATCACAAATTGAAGTATTGGTGATAACCTATGAACAGTGTCGCGTAAATTGTTTGGGCTCTATGTGTTCGATTTGTACGGTTGTTGTAGTCGCATTATGGTTTTTGATATAACCCAATTATACACAAAAATAACAATTAGATATAATAATAGTAAAGGGAAGTTTTTACTCTCGTGCAATTTAGTTCGTCACTGAGGACATAATGATAGCGCCATTAAGGTACCTACTGTTTTACGATGGATAGGTATAATCGTCGTATGCTTTTTTTCATGATACCGGGAGTAGTCATATAGTAGAAACTAAATACATTTACATTGCCACAAAAGTATTACATTCCCCTGATTGTTATTAACAATACATATACATGCATGTATTATTGTTCGTGGTAGAGAGATATTAAATTTGTATATATTTACAATTCCATTTGATAATAAAAAAGAGCTCGGAATTAACGAAACTTAAACAGCGTTAACGTTTGTTAACAGGTGGCCTGTTTTGTCGTAATTACATCTTAAATAATGCCCATTTCTTGTATAAGTCCTACAACTTCCCGGGTATCAATATCATCAACTTGTTGGTCCCAGTCACGTCATACAGCTTTACACGCTGACTAAAATCTGATTATCGGTGATTCTTGTGATGCTATTATTCAAACCACGTTGTTCAGTGTAGATCGAAAACAACTTGTGTCCAGGGATGATTAACTAGAATAAGAATCGCATTTCAGCGTATATACAAAGTATGACGTAATCAGAACAAAGAAACAGCCAGGCTTTTTTTTTATTAGAGTCAGTTTATGAGAGGCTAAATTAAAACGAGACGTCTTCCGGTCTTAAGTGACGTACTTACCCTGATCTGAATCCACTCGACCATTGTGTAACAGTGAGCAAAATTTTCAAATTTATCCCATTGTATTTGATTTTTACTTGTTTAATAATTTTATTTCATTATTGTAATAAATTCATCAATTACGACCACTGTTTTTGACAAGCGAAACAATGTTTCGCATGCGCATTTTTCAGTGATGTCATTGATTGAGTGACGGATGAATTTGCATATCAATTGACGATACGTGTGCGTAATCCACAACCTTCGTCCTTTAGTCTGTATAGTGTATGTTTAGTGATAACACTCTTTGTCATGGACCCATTGGTCTACGTTTATTATTGGAAACACCAGCAGAAAGTGTTGGTTACCTGATATAACGACAAACATTTGGTCAGGGCTCCACAGTCTGATTTACAATAGTAATTAATTGACATGATATGGTTCAGTTTTGTAGCTAAGACTGGTTTACAAGCATCTATAACTATCATACAAATGTAGAAATCGCATTGTATCTGAGTTTGGTTGGGTTATAATTTGCATAAGAACAAACGATTTACATAAATAAACCACATTACCGAAAGTGTTATAATTCTTGTAAAGCTACATTTAGCTCTTTGTTTGTGTTTACGCATATAATAAACAACCACGGTTTTATTCATATGTAGATTGTAATCCA